TTTTTTTAGAGCTGTATTTGTGAGCTTATGTGAAAATGCTGATAAAAACCATTGGCAAAAATTACAAAGAAAGACCTAAGAAAAAATTATAAAAAAGATATAAAATTTATAAAAAATCCAATTCTCTTCTCTTCTCTATTTTTTTTAGTAAAATTTAAACTTTAAATCCCCAAAAAAGTTGTTACTATGAGTTCCTGTCAACCACAACCCTCCACTTAAATGAATTTAAATAAAATATTGATGGGTTGAGAAAATTAATTTATTTAATTTAAATTTTAGGGTCATTAAAAATTGTACAAAAGTCCAGAGAGAGAGAGAGATATTTATATCATTTGTTACATTGCTACATTTTTTATGTTGTCAAAAAATTTAAGATTGTGCTTAACATTTTTTCAGATATGACTTCTATCCATGATTCATTAGAGATTAATTTGTATATATCATTTTCATTAGTTACTATAAAATTAATGTTTGATATTTAAGAATTAAATCTTTTTCTTTTACTAAATTTATTTAAATTAAGATATATTGAGTTATTTATTTACATAAATTAAGTGCTAATATTAATATAATTTAAATTTTATAATAATCAGGTATGTATTTAAATAATCTATTTTTACATCTTAAATAAAAATTTAACAAATTTAATAATATTAGATATTAAATTTATCAATAATTTAATTTTGAAAGCAATGTCATTCATGGTAATTTACACAGTTAAAATTGATTCTGATAAATTATCTAAAAATATTCAATTTTGTTAAAATTAATTTTTAAAAAAATAGTATCTAAATATATTATGTTATAATATAATCAATTATAATTAAAATTAATTATTTAATTAATTATTTTTATAATTAATTATACCAATGAAATTCAAATGGATACTAACTCATTCTACCCATTTAGCATCATAAAAATATAACTTTTCAATTTTTTTCATTCTGTACCATTAATAGTTATAATAAATTATTGGACAAGAAACTTAAATCATAACAAATAAATAAGAGGTAAAATTAAAAAAATTACTCTAACCACGTCTTATATTGATGATTAAAAATTTTTTTAAAAATTTTATCTTATATTAAGGACATGTGAGAGTATACTATTAGGGATGTTTTCATACAAGTATTTTTTTCCAGCTTTTTTCAACTTACTATTCACTTCAATCTAAAATATAAGCAGTTTTTAATAATAAATTGCATACACATAAAATTTTTTATTCTAATAAAAAATATATTATTTTTTTATTTTTATTTTTAGTTTCAATATATGATGAGTGAGAAAAAATTATAAATTCATAGACACAATAATTTAAGTTAATAAATACAATAAACAAAAAGAGAAGCTCTTTCTTTTGTTTTTTGTTTTTTAACAAATACCAAGTTGGTTTATATTGTACCAAGTTTATACTTAATCTAGGTTAGAAAATTGCATGTGCTTCCTTTGAAGCATCTTCTAGGGGCCTTGTTTTGTCCAAAATATAGGATATTGAGTAACTTTAAAGTTATTTTTTAACTATATTCCTACTTCATTTATTACTCTTTTTAAAAAAATAAGACATTAGAATTTTAATTATTAAGAGAGAAAAATTAGAAAAATGTAATTTTTTTTAAAATTAAGGTTTCAACTAATATTTTTAAAAATATTAAATTAGTTATCAATGCCTTATATTTTGCTTTAGAGGAGTATTTTGGATCAGAGGGAGTATATTGTAAATGCTTTTTCTCTTCCCTTTTATTATAGGAATTGGAAATTACCTACCAGTTCAAATTCAAGGAGGATGGGCCAATTAGAAGGAAAATATTGGCTATTAAACTATGCCTTCCCTTTAATTGCGCAATTAGAGAAACCTTTGATTTTTGATATATTTAATTTTAAAGACACTCTTCAATGCTATTTTCAAACATAAGCCATAAATTAGTCCACATTCATGCTACTCTTTTTTTCTCCCCTATAACAAAGTATAGTTATGTTCATTTTTAAGGATTCACTAAGTTAATATTAACTTTTGACTCTTACAAGTTGTAACGACACTTACAAATTACTGTCAGATAAAATTTTCATACATTCAAGTATATGAACCTATATTTTAGGGGTGTTTTTTTTTCCACCAACCCATTTAGTGGTGTTTTTTTTTCCTTTTCCTTTTTATTTTCTGAAACTATTTGGAATTAAATATTTTTTACCAATTCAAATTCAAACACGGATGTGCCAATAGGAGGAAACTCATATTACAATTATTTTTAGAAAAATATTGATGGAAGATTTCTGAGATGATTTAATATTTGACAAGAAGACTTCTAACAAGTAAATATTAAAGAGTAACAAGTGAGTAACAAGTGAAGTTTAACTTTTAACAAGTATTTATAAGATATTAAATTATTTCAGCGATCCTTTATTAATGTTATACATTCTTTTTATTCATAAGGTTGATGCTTGAGATTTTATTGAAAAAAACATTTGAAGTCTTTTATTACTCATTCCAACTGTTCTCAAATTCTTTTTCTCCAAACCCATCGAAAGAAAGAATAGTGGAATTGGAGATGAACTCATCGAGTTGAAGTTGAAACTACGGTCGTTACTTGTGGCCCCATCAAAAACTACGGGTCGTTTGAATGGAAATTGAAACCCAAGCCCAGCTTTCGCCGTGTCATTTTAGTAATAAACGGAGTCAATCAGGGGTATTTACATAATTCCACTCGTTTAAAACCACGCGGATTGCCAGTATTTTCCCTTTACATTGCACACAATCTCCGTAATCTGTATACACGCAACAAATCAGAGTACGGGAAAGCTCTCTCGTCCTCCTCCTCTCTTCTTTCTCTCTAAGGTGTTTGTAGTGAGAGAGACTCTGCTTCAAAAAGATTTTTGGTGAGGAGGAGAGGAGACATTAATGGAGGGGAAAAGGTATGCGGTGTTGCTGTGCGCAGAGGATTCCGAGTACGTGAGGAAGAAGTACGGGGGGTATTTCGGGGTTTTCATCAGAATGCTGGCGGAGGAAGGCGAGACCTGGGACGTCTACAAGGTGGCGTCCGGCGACTTCCCCGAGGAAGACGGCGATCTCGACCTATACGATGGATTCGTCATCACCGGCAGCTGCAATGACGCTCACGGAAATGACGCCTGGATCCATCGCCTCATCACTCTCATTCAGAAACTCGATTCCATGAAGAAGAAAATCCTCGGTATTTGCTTCGGTCACCAGGTAATAAACTAATAAATCAATCAATCATTCATTCATCTTTCGTCGGAGATATCTGTACCGTTTCCATGATTCGATTCCGTTGGATATCCACGAACGATTTCGAAATCGATACGGAAGTGTATCTTATTTCCCTACTTTTATTAAAAACGAAAAATAAATTAAAAAAATATCTTCGTATAGTATGGCATGGTAAAAAGATATTTTTAAAATGTAAGTAAAATGTATTACTTTCTTTTAAATTATAATATATTTTTAAAAAAGATTCAAATATTAAAATATAAGATATTTTAATAAATTAAAAATTTCACTAAATAATTATTTTTAATATTATTTTTGACTTAATAATTAAATAATATAGATTTAAGGTTATTAAATAAAATTATTTTTAAAATTTTATATTTTTATTTTAAAAAATAAAATTATTAAGTATTGACAATAATATTTATTGATATGTAAAATTTTGAATAAAATTAATGAATATTGAGAAAAATGTAGAATGTGTGTTGGTATTACCAATTTTTTGCTTTTAAAACTAGATTTGGGTTTGCTTATGGACATGAACAAAATATGCTCGTCATATATGATACAAAAGACATTAAGAAAAGTAACCAAAAAAAAAAAAATTATATAGCTTCTTTCGTTTCTTGAGGAGGCGTTTAGATTTGGAGATTCTTAATTAATAAATTAGTTGAATATAATTAGGGTAAACATAACTTTTAATTCTTGTATTTTATTTATATTTTGTTTTTGATTTTTATATTTTTTTTGGTATCTTAAGTTTCTATACTTTACTTATAAAAAGATTGAAAATAATAAAAAATAAAAATATAAGATCTAAAAATATAAAAAAAATATAAAAATAAAAAATAAAATGTAAGTAAAGTGTATAAAATTACAAATTATTTTATCCATATAATTGGTAAAGGTTTTGAATGTTTGTTACCATTTTCTTTTGAAACTAGGTTTGGGTAATTTGCTAATTGACAAAAGAGCTTTGAAATGAAGATAAATAAATTAGTCATTCCAATGTACAGTTCTGATAGGACGGGATTTGAGGCAAGTATTGACGATGAAAAGAGGGAAAATTTGTCCACAAGGCTTTTCAACGTGGATGTTGCACGTGGGGGAAATGAATCAGTATACTGCATATAAAATTATAATTATTGAGCATTATTATTTTTACTACTGTTTTTTCCTGAATGTTGTTTGAATTTCAGTTTCGTCTAAATTTGAGTGTAGTTTTCTGTCAAATTTGGGTCTTTCTTATATTTTTTTTCAATATATCACTCTATACTAAATTTTATTTGTATATTTAATTATCTATGTATTTTTTATAACCGTATGTTTATTATCATCTCTTGAATACTTTAAAAACAAGATTATTTTGGTAGTTTGGTATTTAGTCATTAAATGAACAGTATATTAATTTAATGTCACAATTAAAAATCTCACACGTTCAAACTAAATAAATAATTAAATAAACGAATGAGATAGAACATAAAAATTAGATATTGAGAAGGTGCTGAGATGGTCCTCCAAATTCGATTTCATATGGATCCTTGTTCGCTCAGTCCGTCTAGTACAATAATACAAGGGTCCGTTTTGTTCCATAGTCCAGCCTGTATCTGTTCGTTTGCTCGTAAGTTAAATTTTTCGTCCCCTTACCTCTAGATCACATGTGTGCTATTGTTTCTGTTCATGTTCATGGCCAACACACACACACACACACACACACACAAATAGAAAATTACTTTTGTACGGACGCAAGTGGGATCTATCACTGTAAATTTGATCTCACGGTGGAACCTTAGTCAGAAGATATGGCAGTTTTTTAGACAATGGAATCAGGATTCAGCATGCAGGCCGTACTAAAAGGCATGATGATATATTTCATTACGCTTCCCCCCCCCCCCCCGGGGTTTTCCAATCCTCTGGTTCTTAAAGAAACACTGTGTTTTCTCAGGCTGATGATGATAATCTTTATTATTAACCTTAGGTAGTGACATCTTAGATCTTTCTCGAGTGTGTGGTTGTGGAACACGTACAATTTTTAAGATGTTTACGTCCGTCCAATAAGGCTGCTTGCTCCCATGATATAATGAAGCACACCTAATGCTTTTTATTTTCCATTAGGAAGTGATTTATATGATCTTTTTTTGACCCTATCAGATAAATGCTGACGGGTGGGTATGACATGCATTAATTGAAACCATTTTGGCAGCAAATATTGGAGATGAAATGAGATCCCCTTTATCACACGTCGGTTTTTGGTCAATTCCAAAACAGCACCGTCCATATCTACTACTTATTACTACTATTTTCTTTAGAAAATTTTGACATGGATGATGATTATATATATATATATATTCTTCTCCTTTTTAAGATTAATTACCATACTATTGAAAATCAGGTTAATCCCAGTGCCTTGACTATTTATATAAGATGTATTGTTTATGGTTGATATGACTACATTTTGACCCTTCACTCATCTTGAATGGTTGAAAACCGGTTGAGTTTTGGTATGCTAATTATTAATTTGGGTTGGTGTGCTTGTGATCAGATATTTGGGTTGGTGTGCTTGTGATCAGATACTTGTCGTGCATTGGAGGGAAGGTTAACCGATCTCCCACTGGTTGGGACGTCGGTGTGAGAAGCATAACCTTATCATCATCGTCGCCATTGTCTCCGACGTCTCTCATGTTACCATCAAAGCTCTCTATAATCCAATGCCATCGAGATGAGGTCTCAACCTTTTCTTTTAACAAAAGTTGTACTATGAATAGACATCAGCGTGTTTCCATTATTATTAGGGTTGATTGGTTATATATATGTGTGTGTGTGTGTGTTGATTTGATGAGGAAGTTAATGAATTTGTGGATATGAAAGTAGGAGAGAAATTCCGACGAAGGCAGAGATTATTGCATGGTCGGAGAAGACGGGGATCGAGATGTTTAGGTTCGGTGATCACATAATGGGGATCCAAGGCCACCCTGAGTACACCATTGACATTCTTTTACACCTCATCGACCGTCTTGTTCAACGTGACCTCATCTTGGTATTTCATTCTTAACACCCACAATTCATAGCTCACAGTTCAGCTGGCCCATGCTACTTGGTCCAAATCAAACACATATTTTAATAATGTTAAGTCCTATGTTAATAAATAAACTCTGTTTGAGCTAGCTCATGGTCCTTACGAGATTTTTCAAACTAAAATATTGACATTGCAGATAGATCAAATAGACGGGATGGGGAATAACAAAGATAAATTACAGGAAGTGAAGACAAAGCATGATTTATTAAATGTTTTTCTTGGTCTCTCTCTACATTTCTTTATAATGGGAAAGATTATTTTTGTTTGACTATTCTCCCAGCACCTCCATCCACCTATTTAACATTTTCTTTGATGACTTAGTATAATTATATAGCTTGATAAACTTGATAGCATATGAAACTTGTTGTCTGGGAATACATATTAATGATGAATGTTTGGAATGACAGGAAGCTTTTGTGGTGGAGCTAGGGCTAAGGTGGTGCTGCGAGAGCCAGATAGAGAGGCTTGGAAGAAACTCTGTACCAGCTTCCTCAAAAGTCGCTCATGACCATTCAAGAAACGAAGAGAGATATTTAGCTAAAAAAATGGTATTTTAGAATTAGTGAATGTGAATGAGGAAGCAAAAATGGTGAATCATGAGAAGAAAGACGATTTGAAGAACTGGAATAGTTTTGGTTGGGACCAGAATGTTATAAATTAAGCTAAATTATACATCACGCTCATAAACTTAATTTATAATCTCTTTAATTTTTAAAACTTTATAATGAATTTTCATCAACTTTTATATTTATGCAGATAATTTTATATAAGTAATTTTATACATTAATTATTTATATATAACTTAAAATTTAGTGAGGTTATCTGTATATTAATTAAAGTTTAGGAGTTCAAATGCATATAAAAATAAAGTTTAAGGAGGTATATAATTAATAATTAAATGTTATTGGCATAAATTTAAAAGTTTAAAGAGGTTTATTATTAAGTTTTAAAAGATTAAGATGGTTATTTGTACATGATTCAAAGTTTAAAATTTTTTATGTCATTTAGCTTAATTAAATATGTGAATTCAAAATGTAAACATGTGAGTGTTACATAATTGGATTTCTCCCTTCCTCCCCTCTCCAATGGAGTGATTTTCCCATTTATCCTTCACATGCAATATCTTTTTATTATTCTTCAGGAAAATCAGCCATAATTTTCAGAAATCATATTAGGAGGTCTTAAAAATTATAATTAATTTTTAGAAACATATTATCAGTTTCTAGAAATTTATTGATAATTTTAAAAAATTAGTCTTAAACATTATAATAGTACTCATTTTAAAATTTCATAGGAATTCTTAAACATGATTACAGTGTAAAAATCCTTTCATGTTTGGATTCTTTGATGCAATTTTTAAAAATATTTCTCTATTATGCTTTCAAATGGGGATACATGCATAAACACATACTCACAGGAAACTTGTCAAAATATCACATCTACTAATATAATGAATATTTGATGCAAAGCTTCAAATTGATTAATGAATGCTGAAACTTTTAGGCTCCATTTGGCATGAATGAATAGTTTTTGATGGAATCAGAATTGAAATTAAAATTAAAATTGAATTATAAAAATGTTTGGTATATTAAAAAAATTAGATGGAATCCTTACATTACTTTTGTTTGGTATAGAAGACATGAAAATGAAATTATACTTAAAAGATAAAAAGCCCCCTATATAAAAATTAAAATAAAACATAATAAAAGTTTAATTGTGGTTTAATTTCCTTATGTATTTTATATGTTAATGAATATTATATAAATGATAGATATTATATATAAGTAAAATATTTTACAAAAATATTTTAATTTTCTCATATGTTTAATATATAAATAAAATATTATAGATAAGTAAAATATTTCATAGAAGAAATATAAATACATGTATCGTACTATATTTTACATATACACACATATATTATAATTTATATCAAGGCTTCAATACCTTTTTGTTTATTAGTTTTCAAAGAAAATTTTAATAAGTATATTTACTTAAAATAAAAAAAGGATCAAAGTACCCATTTTAATTTTTTTTTTTTAAAAAAAACTCATCCTATCTTTTGCTTGCCACCTCATCCATGAGACCATGACCACCACTGCTCCATCTGCTCAGTCACCATCGCCAGCATCTCTTGTTCGAACCAAGAAACGGAGCTAAAGCGCTTGAAAATCACAGTCCTATCTGCCACGGTTAAGATTTCGAAGCAAAAGTCAAGAGTGTCAAAGAGATGAACTTTTGTCGGACCTAATGAACTTTCATCAAAGGGCCTCTAAGCCAAGACGATACTCATAGCGACGGACACCGATGAACTTCCGTCCAATGGTGCAACGGGTGACTGAAGCGAGACTAGACAACTCACAGATCCAATGGCGTCGATCCTGAAGTCGGAACCAGAGTTCCCTTCGTTGGTTTTCGAGTGATGGACTGTTCTTGCCAATGCTGGACACTTCATCATTCTTGCTGAATCATCAGCAGCAGGAGGATGAGGAGACGGTGGGAAGGCTAGGTTGGAGAAGACGATCGCAGACGACGCTAATCTTGAGTCATACTAGAGAAGGCCAAGAAACGCAATCAGCTCATGAGCGGGGAGGCTAGGTTGGAGGAAGACAAGGTGATGATTGGGGGGGCCAAAATGTCAGAGACACTATTCCATGGAAAAGTGGGCCAATTCCATCATGCTGATGATGGAATTTGACTCTGCCGTTTTTGCTGGAATCTGAATTCTTGGGAATCAAGATGCTATCATGCCAAACATGCTAAAATTCAAATTTCATGTCCAATTCTGTTTTCACATGTAGGATTCTCATGTACCAAACAGGGTTTTAAGGGTGAATATATATGGGCCCCACGCACCCATTTGTCCATTTCTGTACCAATAATTGAAGCTTTAAAAATAATGCATTTGTTGATCAGGGTATTCGTAAAACTTGTTCAACTTTTAAAAGGATAATGATGATAATGATGATTATTATTATTAAAAACATCACATGAAACAAATACAAGGACACACCCGCATATATATATATATATATGTAGAGAGAGAGCAATAAGTAGGAAGGGGCAATGGACATGATCCTTTCAGAGATTTGATTTGAATTATGGATTCATGCTTTTTGAAGATAGACTTTACAGTACCATCCTCCAACATCTTGTAAAGGATAGAAGGTTTTATAGTGTGAATATCTCTTTGAACACCATAAATAAAAGTGAATTATATCTGCATTTAAAATTTATAATAACATTCTTCTAGCTTTTTCTAAGTTATCTCTAACGTATTTTATTGAAATTAAAAAATTTTAAACTTTTTAATTCTTTTAAATATTAATAAATTTTTAAATTTACTCCTATTAAATAATATATATTTTAATAATATATTTTCTCTCACAAATATTTATTGGAGATAACAGAGGACACTTGTGGTAAAAATATAATTACATGACTTACAAATAGAACAAAAAAAATCATTTGTTCTCAACCTTAAAATAATACTAGGGGGAATAATTGCTTAAAACAATAAAAAGATAGTTGGCTCATAAAAATAATTCTTTTTATATAGAAAAGTTTAGAAAAGTTGGGTTTTAGAAATTAACTAAGGTCAAGATATGCTTCTAAATAATGGAATTTGAACTCATGATTTTATAAGTTATGAGTCAAATTCTTACCAATTGAGTTAGTTTTTTTGTTTTTTTTTTCATAAAAATAGTCTTGATTTGATGTTTTTAGACAAATATAAGAAGTAGATTTTGTTGATATAAAAAAATATTTCCCTTCAGATAAAGATATTTGATGTTGTCTGGACACTATTAGAATTGGGCCTGGCACAATACCACAAAGATAATTGTTCTAAAGTGAAAACGTAACATTTCATACAAAAGAAATAAGTAGTACTTACCATCACATTTTGGCTTATGTGAAAAGAGGTGTATGAGTTCCCTTAACCATCAGCTCTTAAGTTTGATCTCTAGGGCAATGAAAATGAAGAAAATCTGCTTGAAAAAGACACCCTCCTTTAAGGCCTCATAGCACTCGAATTTGGATTAGTTAGAGCTATCAACTTCCAATACCATTTGGTTATAAAAAGAAAAAGAAGAAGAAAGAAGTAGTATTTTAACTCACAAATCTCGAAGTGTGTTGACCAAGTCAAGCATATGGTCATTTTCAATTGTCATCATTGTCATGATTTGATCTCAATATACATGATAGAATGCCATCAAGTGCAATATGAAAAGATTTATCTAGCATATGAAATTCTTGTTACTCTCACATCCATGTTATATGCATTAAACTAACATAGGGCAATATTAAATTTTTGATAATATATATTATTTTGTACAGTTATAGTCAAGATGGTTATAACTATTTTATTTTTTGTTATTATTTCATTCTTTAATAGATCTTTATTTTATTATTTGATAGATCTTTTTTCTTTGTGTAAATATATCTTATATTAGAATTAATAAGATAAGTGACTATTTTCACAAATTGTCTAGTTCTAGTGAAATTTCTTTTTCATTATTTTCTCTCTAATTTGGTGCTTTTGGAACCTCATGACACCCTAAATCCATCGTTCTGCCTTCCACCATTATGACTACTCTGGATGCTTCTGTACTTGCTGATGGAACTGCTTAGTCTTCATCTTCTTCTGCCTCTCTATCATTCACTTGGGATCAATACAATAGGTTTCTTACTCTTATGCAAACCCTACACCTACTACTTCATCAACTCCTTTGACATAAGTTAATTTTGTGACTGTCTTTCCTTCCACTCCTTCTCTCATTACGTCTTTAACACTAGGTATATCTCACGTACTTTCCTCTAAACTTCTTTCATCTTCCTGGATCATTGATAGTGGCATGACTAATCATATACATTCTTCTATTGATCATTTCTCCAAGTTCGTTCCTATTTCTATTTAGTTACCTGATGATTCTGTTGTTTAAGCTCATCATTATAGAATCATTTATCTTTCCTATTATTTTTTATCTTACTAATGTTTTATTTATTCCTTAGATTAACTATCATTTGATTTCTATTTCTAAACTTTATTTTCACCTTTACCGTTTCTTTATCTTCAATGCCACTCATTATTTCATTCAAGCCTTAGACTCTTGGAAGATGATTGGTATAGCTGAGGCTCATAATGTTCTTTATTTTCTTTAAGATCATGTAAGTAGGCTCTCACATTCTTCAGTTTCTCCTGTTACTTTACATTATAAATTTGTACCTTCTTCTGATTTGTGGCATCTTAGGTTAAGACATGGCTTCTCTGTTGTGACTAGTATTCTAGGTTAGAGATATCTTCAATTACTTGTAAACCTACCTTAAATAAAATTGCGATGTTTGTCATTTGTCCAAACAAAGAAAACTACCATTTCTTGTTAGTATTTCCCATACCACTTGTCCTCTTGAACTTTTATATGTTGATATCTGGGATCCATTTAATATTGCTTTTGCTCATGGCCATTATTATTTTTTGATTGTTGTTGATGATTACTCTTGCTTTAC